ATAATTAGGCTCAAGTATGATGATGAGCAGCACTGGGTAATCTTCTGAGAATACGCTTGCAGAGGATGATTTGCTAGCCATAGATCTAGTCGAGAAGGCGCGCCGTATGATGGCGCCAAACGGAAACTAGACTACCTCTTTGCGTTGGCCCCATAAAAACAAATGCATTTACTACAATAGATTGAAAACTAAAAATTGTCGTACAATGTAGAACATAAAATCTTTCCTATGAAATTTACAATTCTATTTACGTGACAGCGGGTTAGTTGGTCCATTCTTGCAGGGCTAGTTCTACAGCTATTGCATAGTCAACTAATCCGCAGCTTGCTCTAGCTTCTTCCCTCAAGAAGGTAGTGGCCTGAATGATTGGTCATAGATGCTCTCAGCGAATGCCTTCGATCGGACCTAATGGCACAGCCCGCCATCAAAATCTGTTGTTATTTCGCTCGGAAATGAAGCTAAAGGCACGAAGAGGACTGTCAGTGAGGGGAAAAAACAAAGGCTACCCTAAAAATTACTGAATTTGAGCGACTCCTTTTCTTATGATGTTCGGCCATGTGAAGAAGGCAAGACACTGTGCGGCGGAGAGAGGGTCGCGAGAGAACAGGTCTCAAGAGAGGGCGCAGACACAGCGCAAGGCAGACCAAAAATGGCAGCGGTTGCAGCAGTCGCTGAAGTGCTTCAGCGCTTTATTGCCCCATCCAATTCGCGTCACGGCTTCTCTTTGATGACCGGGCCACCCAAATTATGGAAGAATGGTTCCAAGGATCTGATCGCGGATCTTTGCCGATTTCAAATGGTCCCGTTGAGCTCTGAGCACGAGCGTGACGGTTTCAAATGCTAGAAAAGGTATCGAGGCACCGCCTTGAAGCTCGGGGAATTCATTGAGCTCTGGCTCCGAAAAGGTTAACTTGTTTTCTTGTTGCAGCACTACTTCATAACGTCGTTAACTGGTTTTCCTGGTTTTGTAATTGGCTAGAAATTCAATTAGAAATGATCTTTGTAAATTGGAAATACTCCTTGGCTGAGTTGGACTGTTGCCAAAAATTCGGCCTCACAAAGCTTTCGTAACCCTGATGGGCTCAAGCGGTGGGCACTGAAGAGATCTTCTGTTATCAATGAAAGCATCGGGTCTGGGTTTAGCCGGACGTGATGAATTCAGCTTTAGTTGTGGGGCGAGAGAGTCCAAAAAAGTCTTTGTTCCGGCTCACAACTCTCCCTTCGT